AATATAATGATTATTGAAAATAAAAACAAAGTGTATAGATAGGAGAGATCAAAGGCTATACATAACAACATTTTTCAATACTTGTCTCATACTAGTCAGTATGATCTGTCAACAAATTACTGAAATAATCCACAAGGGACTTAATTGAAATATTAACTAGCAGCTTGGACATAATTGAATAATATTTATATTATAATATAATAATATAATATTAAATATAATAATATTTAATGAATTCTCATATGAAGAAGGCAGAAAGTTCAAAGATTTAAAGTAAGATTCTTAGCAATGTTCTTGCTTTTAATCTTCACAATTGTCCTCTGTAAAACCTAAAAGGTATAAACTTTTTTGATATCTTCTTCATGGCATCCTTCACCTCCTTATTTCTCAGGCTGTAAATGAGAGGATTTGCAACAGGGGGAAGGACTGTATATAACAAAGAAAATACTTTGCTAACCTCACTAAGTGCTTCAGATTTTGGTAACAAATATACAATCATGATGGCTCCATAAAACATAGAAACTACTATCAGATGAGATGAGCAAGTGGAAAAGGCTTTTTTTCTCCCAATAGTGGAAGGGATTCTCAAGATAGTAATTATGATGTATATGTAGGAAGTCACAGTAAGGATAAAGGGAGGTAGAGTAAATACAAAGGTAAAGCTAAAACTTGTAAATTCTACTAAGTTGGTATCACTACAGGAAAGTTTTATTAAAGGAAGCGTGTCACAAAAGTAATGATTAATTTCATTTTGACCACAGAATGTAAGTTGTAACATTAAACTTAAAAGGATCAAAGCAGCTATAAGGCCATTGATCCATGAAAAAGCTGCTAGCTGGATACAAATTCGAGCATTCATATTTGTTGCATAATGCAATGGTTTGCATATTGCTAAATATCGATCATATGACATTACAGACAGGAGATAACATTCAGTAGCCACTAACAAACCAAAACAAAAAAATTGCAAAAAACAACCATTGAATGAAATGGTATTTTCATCTGTCAAAAAGCCGACCATCATCTTGGGTAAAATATTTGAAATATAGCAAGTTTCCAGGCATGACAAATTACCCAGGAAGAAGTACATGGGTGTATGAAGACGTTGATCAATAGCAACTAAAATTACAATGAGAATATTCCCAGCCATGGCTACAATATAAAATACTAGGAAAATAAAGAAAATAATAGACTGCCATTGTCCAAAGTTTCCAAACCCCAAAATTATAAATTCTGTTATATTCATCTAACTTCTTCAGGCCATTTATTGCATAATTTTTAACAAATGCATATAGTTTGAATAAACAGATCTTATATTTCATCCTGGGGAAAAAAGAGAAATAGGATAAAACAATAGTGAATATATTCCATCTGAAAAGGGGACTGGTAATCAATTCTTTCTTTTCCTCATGATTTCTTGTGCAATAATGATTTTATGTTAAAGGGCAAGTAAGTATTGCTTTTTGCAATGCAAACACTCTTTTATTTTATTTTACTAGAGCTGTTAAATATACTTTATGAATAAAAGATAAACCATTGTCCTCAACACCACTTTTTAATCAAGAAACCCATTTTTTTAAATGATTGCATTTTTTTCACTGAACATTGTCAAAAAAAAACTTATGAAATACAAAGAGACTTACCTCTGTGATATAACAACAAGGGCATCTTTATGATTCAGAATGACTGCTGCAGCATTTCCTTATTTATGTCCACACTTTTTGAATATTTGCCTTTCTGGTGATTGGGAGTTTACAAAATCATAACTTACTCTCTCTCAGTCTTTCTTTATCTCTCTCAAGAGGTCATTAATTATCCCACAAGAGAAAAGTTAATATGGTGCCTATAGTTTCAATTCATAATTTTAATACTGCTGTTGTTCCTGAAAATTTTCTTCTACCTTTCATAACAAAATATTTGAAGAAAACTCTGTGTCTCTCCCATGTCGTATTAGGCCATAAATCTTATTTTCATAACTTTTTTTTATCAACAGAGATATTTATTACTATTTTTAAATCTATCTTTTATTTATTTATTTTGTCAAAATTGAATTACATTAGATACGTATAAACATGATTATGAATACATAAAATGAATATGAAAACTAGGACAGGGGCAGTAGGCAAACTGGTGCACTTATGCATGTCCTTTAAGCAACCTTGTGATCTAAGAAGCATCAGCTTTCTATATTTCCAATTTTTACTTTGGACAAATATATACAAACATTCATAAAATTAAAAAATGTTAGTGAGGAAAAATTAAAGCAAATTTTATAGGAAACATTGTACACTCATTGTCTAGCATCCAGTGGCACTATGTTGAAATCAGAACTAGCAGGGTCCATATAATCAATGATATTCAGTACAGAGACAGCATTGCTTATACTTAAATAATCATTGGCAGAACTGAGATAGAGGCAGTGCATCTTTTCTTGGGTACTTTGAACTCTTAGCAACTTCCAAGACTACCAACCATGATACCTTTCTAGATCAGAGGCTTCTTTGGGAATGGGAGACACTGCAGTTTATTGATTTGCTTCCTACTTTAACAGTTAAGCCCAATGAGAAGGGGAAAGATCATACTTATTGCTCCTCTTTTGAGTGCTTCAAGGATTGATTCTTCTCAACAGGAATACTCTTCCGACATGTACAATATTACAATATTGCTAATTAAAAAAGATTTTTTTTTATGAAGCTGAATGTTGTAATTGATATTAATGGAACTACATGTGGCTGGCTAAATTACTTGATCCTTTTAATTAGTCAGTGTTACAAACCAACCAACAAACAAAGAAATAAACACTATTTAAAAGATTTATTTATTTATTTTCTCTTTGGTATTCCATTGTACATTCATGAGTGCTTTTGGGTTCCATAATGCTCCTTATTCCTATTTTTCTCACAACAATAATCATGCACGTATATTTATTTTGGAATAAATATTTGGAAAATTAACATATGAAACATCACTCAGAAGCAGTTTCATCAACCATCCACTTACTTTTAAAAACCTTCTTCATGTATATAGAAGTTGAATCAGACATACAAATACAAAAACTGCCTTGCAATGTTGCAATGCAAATATTGTGATGCATAATGTACATTCCATCCTATGTAGTTAGATCATTCTCAGAGGCTTTACTTTGAGTATCCTTCTACATTAAGATGGAATAAAAGTGTACTCAATAAAGAACTTAGATATTTTGGCATTATATAAGTAAAAATCTTTTTTTCCAAAGAATTTTCAAAGAATCTCTCCATCTCTTTCTCCCTTTCCATTCTCCTCTCCTTACCTTACATCTTTCCCCCTTCCTCCTTTCTTTCTCTCCTACTCTCTCCCTTTCTTTTTCTATTATTGTTGGTGTATATTTCAAAACTCAGTTTATGTTTTCTTGGGATGGTATTTCTGTTAGCCCAGATATAATTACCTTCACTAGTCTATCCTAGATATGTCCCCCATCCTTTATATCTCATTCTTGAATATATTAAAATATTTTTAATATTTTCTTTTCTGTTTTCTCCTCCTCCCCCCTCTTTTCCATTTAATAGTGCATCATCTGGGTACTTTACCTTCTCCCTACTTTCTTTTCTAGTTTGCTTTCTCTAGCCAGTCATAAAACCTTCTCCATGTCTTGAAGTACTCTGATTCCTCTTTATCCTTTATTTTAATTGTCAACCTATCCATCTCTGCACAATCTGATAACTTTTTTTATTATCTCTTCATCTGTTGGTAGCTTTTTTAATTTCTAATTTTGGGCAAATAGAATTCTCGCTGCTGTAATTACATGTATAAATAGATATCCTCTTTCTTGAATTTCTCTGGGATAATACCCAGTAAAAATATCTCTGGTCTAAATTCTATTTCTTCTTGTAAAATTTTCTTTAACCATACTTTTATTTTAATCCAATATTTACTTTCTTCTGCACATGTCCATCACATATGGTAGTATGAATCTATTGCTTGTTGACATTTCCAACATTTTGCTAACTTGTCTTTAAACATCTTAGCTAGTTTTCCTGGCGACATATGCCATCTGTAAAACATTTTGTATAACTTTTCTTTGTAAGTTGTTGAAATGGTTAGTTTATAATTTCTTTCCCATAGTTATTGCCACTTTTCTAATTCAATTGTATGGCCAAAATTCTTTGCCCAAATTAATATTGTATCTTTTACCACTTCTTCTTCTAGCATAGTTCTTAATAGGTAGCTATATATTCCTTGATTATTCTTTCTCCCGTTCCCATAAGTATCTTATCCAACTCCGACCTTCCTAAGTTAAAACATGCTCCCTTTTATCTTTTTCATATCTTGATTCTATTTGCAATTGTGAAAACCACCCTATATCAATCCCTTGTTTTTCTAATTCTTGTTTTTTTTAGTTCTCCCCTTTCTGTTAAGATATCTTTGTATCTAATAATATTTTCCATACTACTATTTGGATGTGTCAATGCTTCCATTGTTAAAAGCCATATTGGTATTTCTAAATAATGTTTCCCTTTCACTCTTTCCCATTGTTAATAATCCTTTCCTTACATAATGTCTTTGAAAAATGTGCCCTATTTTTATCATACCACAAAAAAGCATGCCAACCCAATTGAAAAACATGCCTCTCCAGTGTCAATAATCTTGTATTTCTCAGTAAAATACATTCTTTCATCCAAGCTAGACCCGTTGCTTGACAGTACAATTCCCAGTTTGTTTATCCAAATCCACCTCAAATCCTTGCATCTTGTAACATTTTTATATTAATTCTTGCTTTTTTCCCTTGCCATATATATTTCCCTACTATTTTGGGGAATTTTTTCTCTAGTTTTAGCGGTATTGTTTGGAATAGGTATAAAAATCTTAATATATTCATCTAGTAAATATCTTCTTATATAGGTGGACCTGATGGAGTTTCAGAAATATAATATTGTGATTTTAATCTACAAATCAGTAATGATTTTTTTTAAAAAAACTTGAAAATTATCAAATCTTTCCCAGATGTAGCATTTTATATGCTAAATGCAGGTTGGTTTGTACAGTATCAGTCTACCAATTTTTTTTCTTAGGGCCTCTTTGACCTCCTTATTTCTTAGACTATATATAAATGGGTTTGCTAGTGGAGGCAAAGCTATGTATAACAAAGAAGAAAATTTTGGCACATCTGCTTTTTCAATTCTTGGCAGCATGTAAGCAATCATGAGAGATCCATAGAAAATAGAAACCACAACCAGATGTGAAGAGCAGGTGGAAAAGGCTTTCTGCCTTCCAGTGACAGAGGGGATTTTTAAGACAGCGCCTATAATATATACATAGGATAATAGTGTTAAGAGAAAAGGAGGAAGTGTGAAGACAGCAGCTACAATATAACTCATAATTTCCAATAACCAAGTTGGACTACAGGAAATGCTTAGAAGGGCAAAATAGTCACAGAAATAATGATTTATTTCATTAGATCTGCAAAACTTCAATTGCTGTAATATCAAAATGAGCAATATTGAAAATACAGCAAATCCATTGATCCACGATGAAGCAGCTAAATAAATACAAGTCTGAGAATTCATGGTAGTCAAATAATGCAGTGGTTTACAGATTGCTAGATATCTGTCATAAGACATCACACACAGTAAGCAGCATTCTGTAGCTACCAAGGAACTACACAGATACCACTGCATAAAACAATTGCTGAAAGAAATTATTCCATTTCCAGTTAGGAGAGCTGAAAGCATCCTTGGGAATATATTAGAACTATAACAAATTTCAAGAAAAGAAAGGTTTCCTAGGAAGAAATACATAGGTACTTTAAGATGTTCATCAAAGATGACTAGCATAACAATGAGAACATTTCCAATCATGGTTACAATGTAAATTACTAGGAAACTCAGAAAAAACAATGTTTGAAATTCATAGAATTCATGAAATCCAAGTAGAATGAATTCATCTATCTTTGTCTGATTCTCCAGCATTGTGGCAACTAGGAAATCCATGTCCTATTTAAAAATAGAAAAAGAAAGAAAATGCACAAACTAAAGATATTGTCATTGTCATATTTAAGCTTTTTCCTTAGTTTGTTCTTATTTTGACCAATGTCAAAGTGTTTAATGTGTTATATATCATTTGACTGACAGACTTTTTCCCCCATACTTGATGATAAATCTATAATAATAGGATCAACAGAGATAGCTGGAAGATGTTATGTCTCTGTATTTCATTTGCTTATACTCACAAAATATTTATGTTTATAAAAAATGTATATTTTGCTTTTCCTGATACTTGTATTTAAATGAATTGACCAATTGTTCTTGATGCAAAACATGGAACTAATCAAAAACTCTATTTTTCTTATATTATTTTGAAGGATAGAATGTGAATCTATAAATTATTCTAATGCAAATAAAAACGGTTTAGTGTCTTTTCAACTAGTACTGTTCTAAACACAATTATATGCACAAATGTTTATTTTTGTACTGTATTTTAAAAAGAAGCATAAATATGTTTCATTATGACATATCATTATAAGAATATAAAATACTTTCTCGGAGGAAAATTCTTGTTTATACGCTGCTTAAAACATTTCTAATTTTTATGGACTATCTTATTTTGAATAATATTTACACATATAATCAGACTCACATTTTCATACACAAATATATTAAACGGAAGAAAATATTTCAACAGGTCAAAAAAACATTAAAAACTACATGGTATACATTGTTTATAATGTGTAGGATAAAATAGATATTCAATGGCAAAGCTGATGCATAAATTATATAATTCCAAAGCCCAGGATATAATAATGAATAGGTTTTTGGTTTCTCTGTATTACATTCTAATAGTGATATATCAGAATATCAAAATATAATTACTTAAATTAAAACAAAAATACTATTTTATAATTGTTGGACATCTGAAATGGTATGTGGGAATGACCTCAGGAGAAGAGCTGCAGACTAGACAACCATCATGCAAAGCATTATCCGTAGCAAGATTCTTTGTAATGTAACCTTACATTAATGTTTCAGCTAGTGTTCATGGTTATGATTCATCTGGATTACCTTGAAAGGTTAAGATCATGGTTGCAAGGTTGAATGTATTCCTCCTGTACTTTCATTTCGCCGTCTGGAAAGGAGGGAAGATCTCTTCTGGAATGCTTCCCTTTGCATTTTCAAACTGATATATCTTTTGCCTGAATGTTGCCTAATCTTCCTCTTCTCTTCCAAGGCCATTCCCACATACCATTATAGCACTTATGTAGCTATCTTTATTTAAATATTTATGTGCCAAATTAATCTGCCAATTTTAAAATGACACCATACTTGTGGTTGTTGCTGAAATAACTGAAGCAATTGCTACTACATATTTGGAAACATATTCTACAGAACATTCTTGTTTGAAAGACCAGTTCTTTAATTATTTCCAAATAACAAACAAAGCTTATATAATGATAGTTACCATTCTGTTGCTGCTTGATATTTTCTGTTGAACTCCTCCTTCTTATCTTATTCAGAATATATATGTACTACCTGATGTTAATATATAAAGATGCAAACCAATCTGCCTTTTATTTTCATTAGTTGTTTTTTTTTAATAAAATAATTTCTTCTGGGTTTTTGTTTTTATTTTATGATGCAGAAGAATTACTACCACTAAGAAATATTATTTATCTAGAAATGATAAAATTTAACTTAAGAGTATAAATTAGTGATACTGGAATAGCATTACTATCCAAGAATGTTGGTTTTTGCTAAAGAGAAGTTAGATAGCTATGCAGCCAACAGATATCTATTTTGAAAACAAACAAGTATGAACTGGATGGGAAACAAAACATAGATTATTATGGAAGTAAAATATTACATCATTATGCATTTTTCAAAGCCCTTAAGGGAAAATCCCTTAAGCACTTTGCATATCTAAGGCCTCTATAACCTTAGGAAAATTAATTGATATATTTGGCCAGAATATCTGAAAAATAGTTCTAACATTTTTTTGCTGCAAATGAAGCAAACAGTTCATAAATGTGAGTGATAAAAATAAATGATAAACAAAATTGTAAAACATATGGCTGTTACAGCCTATTTGTTTTTTTGGCTAGTTATATCCGAAACTCCTAGCCTGCCAGCTGAGGGTGATAAAACAAATAAACAAATCCCAGCGATATAATTAAAGCACCATGCATCAGCATCATTAAAAAGAGAAAGCTAAATGGATGAAAAATAGACAATTTGTCCCTAAACTGTTTTTAAAAGTTTATGGGAGAAGTATAAAAAAATCACATTCCTTCTTTTCAGGATTAGGAAAGAAGAATAAATTGCCATTCACATTTTTTTTAAATCTCTAAAATGGGTGTTTTGTTTTATCCCAACAGTAAAGACACAGTAGATCCTGAATCTATTAGGCAAGCAATCTGTTTCTTTTAAGAGTTTTATAAATAATCAATATATTTTAAACTGCATTGTGAGATCCTTCCAGTATTTTCACAAAAACTAAACATAAACATGATGAATTATGCTCCCCCACCCACTGTGATGGTGGGAGATTTATGATTTCAAGCTAATGTACTGTTCATTCATTTTTCTTGAAAGATATTTTGAAAGTTTGTATGTATGTAGAGGAATGCAATAGCAATAACAATAAAAATGTAATGAAACTGTGAAAGAGTGACAGAGTTAATATCTAAAGGTTAATAGGCTAAAGTCTAAAGGATTTATTCTTTCTGCTATTTTAATCTCATGTAACAAAATAAAAGATGGTTTGTTTTCTAATACTTCCCCATTATGGATTGTGGATTTTTTAAAAAAAAATCAGATTGAATTTGAAACCATAAAATACTTTTAAAAAGGTTTTGGCCTTGAATGTTGACTCACATAGTTTGAATCTGCTTTTGAATCCAGAATTTCCAATCTCAAAAAATGATAAAAGGCTTGTTCATGCAAACCCACAATGTAAAGCTTCTGGCTGGAAGAAAAACAATATGTGTAGTATGTATTAATTTGAGACACTCTCCAAAACTATCTAAATAAAAGAGGTATTTATGTTGTAAAAGTCTCAAAACATGTGTGTGTGTGTGTGTGTGTGTGTGTGTGTGTGTGTGTGTGTATGT